TTTAACTCCATATGATTTGCATTAATAGCCCTTTAAGATTTTATGCGATTCTTTAATTTTCCATTTTAAATGTACAGTTATTGTTTGAATTTTCCAAATTCATGTACCGTATTTTTCGCTCCATAAGACGCACCTGACCATAAGACGCACCTAGGTTTTAGAGGGGAAAAACAAGAAAAAAAAATATTCTGAACCAATGGACTGCAGACACAGTACAGGGGATGACCAGAGACTGCGGACACAGTACAGGAGATGACCAGAGACTGCGGACATAGTACAGGAGATGACCAGAGACTGCAGACAGTGCAGGGAATGACCAGAGACTGCGGACACAGTACAGGAGATGACCAGAGACTGCGGACACAGTACAGGAGATGACCAGAGACTGCGACACAGTACAGGAGATGACCAGAGACTGCGGACACAGTACAGGAGATGACCAGAGACTGCGGACACAATACAGGAGATGACCAGAGACTGCGGACACAGTAAAGGAGATGACCAGAGACTGCAGACATAGTACAGGAGATGACCAGAGACTGCGGACACAGTACAGGAGATGACCAGAGACTGCGGACATAGTACAGGAGATGACCAGAGACTGCGGACACAGTACAGGAGATTACCAGAGACTGCAGACACAGTGCAGGAGATGACCAGAGACTGCGGACACAGTGCAGGGGATGACCAGAGACTGCGGACACAGTGCAGGGGATGACCAGAGACTGCGGACACAGTGCAGGGGATGACCAGAGACTGCGGACACAGTACAGGGGATGACCAGAGACTGCGGACACAGTACAGGGGATGACCAGAGACTGCAGACAGTGCAGGGAATGACCAGAGACTGCAGACAGTGCAGGGAATGACCAGAGACTGCATACAGTGCAGGGAATGACCAGAGACTGCTGACCTTTGGGGAGGGAGGGGGAGCGGGTACCTGAATTTGACAGGTACGCACTCCCACTTCCGCGGAGTTGTCCTTCCTTCCTTCTTCCCGGGCCGGCTTCTGTGACAGCCGGGTGCCCACTGCGCATGCGTGAGAAGCGCTGCGCTTTGTGAATGGCCCGGCGCCTTCTGGGACCTGTCATGTGTCCCAGAAGACACCGGATCATTCACAAAGCGCAGCACATGCGCAGTGGGCACCCGGCTGTCACAGAAACCAGTGCGGGAAGACTATGCAGCGCTGGAGCGAGGAACAGGTAAGGCCCTGCAGGAGAGAACAGCTGAGTGACCGGCCCGGTATTCTGACATGGTGGCGGCAGAAATACCGGACCGGCCGCTTTATATCCGCTCCATAAGACGCACTGACATTTTGACCCCCTTTTTTGGGGGGAAAAAAGTGCGTCTTATGGAGCGAAAAATACGGTATGTTACCTTATACTTTTGTATACTGCGAATCCTATCACTTATCCTATGGAACAAAAAAAAGGAAGCTTTTTTGGATTGTCAAAAAGAACTATTGTTTGGATTGTTATTACAATGTTGATGTTATAAAATGAAAGTGTATGCTGTGGCCATAGACCTCCTTTGGTTTATGCTACAGATCCCCAAGCAGTGTGTTGTCAAGCCAAAAATTGTATAGTTCAGTTATGTGTAAACTATAAGCAAATTGAATTTTTTGTACACTTTTTAAAACTGCCTTTTATCAGGATACATACATTATATTTTATGATGTCTTGTTTTGGCTTGGGAGACTATTTAAAGATGATTTTTGTATTTCAATGGTTTTTATTAATTTTAAACAGTATAAAACAGAGGCAACAAAACACACCCACGCAGGGGCTATCAATTGCACCAATAAAAAAGGCATAATAGAGCAGACAACACTCTAATTCCAATAAGGCAAAACGTATGCCCACGCAGGGGCTATCAATGGCACATAGGTTACAATCACATCAATAAGACTCTGACTATCACAACTAAAGACAGTTGTCCACTGTCACATCAAAACAAACAGAAAAGGAGAGAAGAAGAGCAGAGAAGAAAGGGAAAAAAAAAAACCAAAAAAAAAAAACCAAAGAGCAGGGGTCCACGAGCGCCAATACCAAACTCCATTACCTCCCCACACTGGCCGGGGGGAGCGTGGGAAAGGCGTATTGCAACCACGGCTCCCATACTTTCAAAAATTTATGTTGAGAGTCGTTGCATATACTCGACATCTGTTCGTTGAGCATCATAGTAGTCATACGATCCCGCACCCCCTGGAAAAGTACAAACTGACTCTTCCAGGCCTGAGCAATTGTCCTAGTAGCCGATAAAAACAAATAGGAAGCCAACCACTGCTGACGAGTCAAGAGGCCCGGTATGGGGCAATGAAGCAAAGCATACCGAGCATCGCGGCGTATGGAGAGATGGAACAAAGTGAAAAGGAGGCCAAACACACGAGACCAAAAAACGAACCAACCTCGGGCATGACCACCAGATATGCAGTACATCGCCACGATGGCCACAACCCCGAAAACATCGATCACTACAGGCAGGGTTAGCCTGGGCCATACGAGCCGGAACCCAGTACCAACGGAACAATACCTTGTAGGCTGCTTCCAGCGTGGTCGTATTAAATGAACATTTAGCTATGAGTGACCAGGCCCTACTCCAGTCCTCCGGATCCACAGCCACTCCCAGGTCACGTTCCCACTGAACAACATATGAAAGAGAAGTGTGAGACGAGCGTCTGTTCAAAGCTGCGTAAAGAAGGGAGATAAGGCCCGGGGCGCCCGGGTGCTGCTGGCAAAGCCGTTCAAAGGCAGATTTCTGATATGGGAAAGCAGAAGTGGCCCTCAGCAAAAGTAGCCAGTGCCGCAATTGAAGGTACTGTCAGGGCTCCCGGGTATGACCAGAGGTGTGTGACTGATGCAGGGAAACGCAGACTTCAGATATGTTATAAACAATATAATTTATTAACACTAACAATACAAACATAAACGCAGTGCAATACTAAAACATAACACAGTGCAAACAAACCAAACCAACCACCCACAGATAACAGTACATACAATGCAAGCGTCGTCAGGCAGGCCGGGTCAATATCAATCGGGCAGGTAGGTACAGGGGGAGCAAGCGGAGAATGGTCGGGGTCACAGGCCAGGTTCAGCAGGTAGCGGGCAGCGTGGTACAGAGGGTCAGGCGGAGGGATGGTCAGGGTCACAAGCCAGGGATCAGAACAGAAGTCAGCAGAGGTCAGAATCAAGCAGGGTCAGCAACAAGACAGGAACAGGAACACAGGTTTACAAGATACAGGGCCCAGGAAAAAACACACACCAAGGCCGAGTCTGCAGGTCTGGCCATCCCTTAAATACACCAGTATAATTAGTTCCAGGTGTTTGACTGGCTGCAAGGTTGAGTCTCTGATTGCTGGGAGCACCCGCTGGCCAGCCCTGGTACTGCAGCTCATAAGGCAGATGAGTCCCACTATTGCTGGCCAGTCCATTCCTGACAGTACCCCCCCCTCAAGGAGCGGCCTCAGGACACTCCAAACAGTCCTAGCTGGGCAAAATGTTCCACCGCCCGGGTCTGGTAACTGGCGGGATATCAAAGACTGGCACACCGGGCAGGACTCCGGGCAGCGGCACACCGGGCAGGGGCACACCGGGCAGAGGCACACCGGGCAGCAGAGGCACATCGGGCTGGACTCCGGGCAGAGGCACATCGGGCTGGACTCCGGGCAGAGGCACATCGGGCTGGACTCCGGGCAGAGGCACATCGGGCTGGACTCCGGGCAGAGGCATATCGGATTACCAGGCGAAGCAGCAGGCAGCGGGCCACCAGGCGGAGCAGCAGGCACCGGGCCACCGGGCGGAGCAGCAGGCAGCGGGCCACCGGGCGGAGCAGCAGGCAGCGGGCCACCGGGCGGAGCAGCAGGCACCGGGCCCCCGGGCGGAGCAGCAAGCAGCACCGGGCCCCCGGGCGGAGCAGCAAGCACCGGGCCCCCGGGCGGAGCAGCAGCAGGCAGTGGGCCACCAGGCGGAGCAGCAGGCACCGGGCCCCCAGGCGGGGCGACAGGCACCGGGCCCCCTGGCGGGGCGACAGACACCGGGCCCCCCGGCGGGGCGACAGACACCGGGCCCCCCGGCGGGGCGACAGACACCGGGCCCCCCGGCGGGGCGACAGGCACCGGGCCCCCAGGGGAGCGGCGGGCGCCGGGCCCCCAGGCGGGGCAACAGGCATCGGGCCCCAAGGCGGGGCGACAGGCATCGGGCCCCAGGCGTGGCGACAGGCATCGGGCCCCCCCGGCGGGGCGACAGGCATCGGGCCCCCAAGCGGGCAGCAGCGGGCGCTGGGCCCCCAGGAGGGGCGACAGGCATCGGGCCCCCAGGCGGGGCGACAGGCATCGGGCCCCCAGGAGGGGCGACAGGCATCGGCCCCCAGGCGGGGCGACAGGCATCGGGCCCCCAGGCGGGGCGACAGGCATCGGGCCCCCAGGCGGGGCGACAGGTCTCGGGCCCCCAGGCATAGCGGCGGGCGCCGGACCCCCAGGCGGAGCGACAGGTCTCGGGCCCCCAGGCGGAGCGGCGGGCACCGGACCCCCAGGCGGAGCGACAGGTCTCAGGCCCCCAGGCGGAGCGACAGGTCTCGGGCCCCCAGGCGGAGCGGCGGGCACCGAGTCACCAGGCACGACAGTGGGCTCCGAGTCAACTGGCAAGACTGCGGGCACCGAGCCAACTGGCGGAACAGCGGGCTTCGAGTCGTCTGGCAAGACTGCGGGCACTGAGTCGTCTGGCAAGACTGCGGGCACCGAGTCGTCTGGCAAGACTGCAGGCACCGAGTCGTCTGGCAAGACTGCGGGCACCGAGTCGTCTGGCAAGACTGCGGGCACCGAGTCATCTGGCAAGACTGCGGGCACCGAGTCGTCTGGCGGAACAGTGGGTATCGAGTCAACTGGCGGAACAGCGGGCACCGAATCGTCTGGCAAGACTGCGGGCACCGAGTCATCTGGCAAGACTGCGGGCACCGAGTCGTCTAGCAAGACTGCGGGCACCGAGTCGTCTGGCAAGACTGCGGGCACCGAGTCAACTGGCGGAACAGCGGGTACCGAGTCGTCTGGCAAGACTGCGGGCACCGAGTCGTCTGGCAAGACTGCGGGCACCGAGTCAACTGGCGGAACAGCGGGCACCGAGTCGTCTGGCAAGACTGCGGGCACCGAGTCGTCTGGCAAGACTGTGGGCACCGAGTCGTCTGGCATTGGATCGTCTGGCTCGACAGCGGGCATCGGGTCACCAGGTATGACAGCGGGCACTGGGTCACCAGGCATCAGGTCATTTGGCTCGCCAGCGGGCACCGTGTCATCTGGCAAGGCAGTGGGCACCGAGTCACCAGGTACGACAGCGGGCTCTGAGTCAATTGGCACGACATCGGGCACCGGATCAGGTACCGGATCATCTGGGTCAACAGCGGGCATCGAGTCAACTGGCCTAATAGGATCATCAGGCTGGATCAGTTCATTATGCTGAGTAGAGGCATCCGGCTGAACAGAGGCTTCAGGCTGAGTAGAGGCATCCGGCTGAGTAGAGGCATCCGGCTGAACAGAGGCTTCAGGCTGAGTAGAGGCTTCAGGCTGAGTAGAGGCATCAGGCTGAGTAGAGGCTTCAGGCTGAGTAGAGGCATCAGGCTGAGTAGAGGCTTCAGGCTGAGTAGAGGCTTCAGGCTGAAGAGAGGCATCAGGCTTACCCACGGAAGGCAGGTTCTCAGACGGCAGGCTCACCGGTTTGGATACTGGCAGGATGGTACTGGTTGGAAAGAATTTTTGCTTTTTTCTGGTGTTAACTACTGGAGCACTGCAAGTAAACGCAGGTCTGCAAACAAATGGAGCAGCTGGAGACAGAGAAGAGCTGGAGGATGGAACAGGGGAGGGAACAGTTGCTACAGAGGGCTTTTTTACAGGGTTAAAGGCAGGATAGGTGCAGCGAGTGGGAACAGGGTACTGACATGCGGTAGATAGCAGGGCAGGAGGAGCTGTTGGGAATGCAGGAATAGAGCTTTGAGGAAATAGATTAGAAGCAGGACTGGGTTTTTGTAAGCTGACTGAGGCTGGGTGCAACAAATCTGTCCATGTCTGCAGTATGGGTTGAACAAAGCTGAGCTTACACAAAGCCTGTCTGACCAAAGACTGCACTGCGTTTATACAATCTCTTAGTACCTGTGGTGAACATGCAGCATAATGCTCCAAGAAGCAATCCACATCATCCTCTAATAACCATACCAGGGCTCTACCTGGTCGGCACTAAATGGCAGCAAAAATTCATCCCTGCATTCGGGGGAACCAGATGAAACCAACTCCGCACAAATCTGAATCAATGGCTGCACCTCAGAGATTTCTGTGCCCTGATCTACTAGAACATGAGCGAGCCGTATACATTCTAGCAGTTCATCCCGGGGATACTCCTTCAGAGTTTGATAAGCATACATACTCTCTGTCATCAAACACTAGCAGATATAAATACACAACCTCATCAAGATCCATCCTTCCCATCAACAAACCAAGATGGCTTCCCTGTGCAGCCACTTCTGGACAGAATTGGCCTTGGTGTAATGTCAGGGCTCCCGGGTATGACCAGAGGTATGTGACTGATGCAGGGAAATGCAGACTTCAGATATGTTATAAACAATATAATTTATTAACACTAACAATACAAACATAAACGCAGTGCAATACTAAAACATAACACAGTGCAAACAAACCAAACCACCCACAGATAACAGTACATACAATGCAAGCGTCGTCAGGCAGGCCAGGTCAATATCAATCGGGCAGGTAGGTACAGGGGGAGCAAGCGGAGAATGGTCGGGGTCACAGGCCAGGTTCAGCAGGTAGAGGGCAGCGTGGTACAGAGGGTCAGGCGGAGGGATGGTCAGGGTCACAAGCCAGGGATCAGAACAGGAGAAGTCAGCAGAGGTCAGAATCAAGCAGGGTCAGCAACAAGACAGGAACAGGAACGCAGGTTTACAAGATACAGGGCCCAGGAAAAACACATACACCAAGGCCGAGTCTGCAGGTCTGGCCATCCCTTAAATACACCAGTATAATTAGTTCCAGGTGTTTGACTGGCTGCAAGGTTGAGTCTCTGATTGCTGGGAGCACCCGCTGGCCAGCCCTGGTACTGCAGCTCATAAGGCAGGTGAGTCCCACTATTGCTGGCCAGTCCATTCCTGACAGGTACCGAAAAAATTCCGCTGGGGGAACATCCCGAGACTCCCGAAGGACATTCCAGGCGGGAAAGGACCGAAAAGTCAAAAAGTGTTGCACCTGTGAGAAACCATGAGCCACCCACCAAGAAAATGTCCTCGGGCAATCTAGACCCGGTGGGAAAAGAGGGTTGTTAACGATTGGAAGCAAATTTAAAGATGATTTTGACTGTTTGTGTTATTGCTTTTTTACACTGCACATTGGCCAAAAGATTGCCAAATATGATCGACCAAATGATCAGTATCTAACTTAAATTGGGTACACATGGTCCAAATATTGACTGGTTCAACAGGAACCATCCGACATTTAGAGTATGTGTACAGCTGTTCTTCCAACAGCAGCCCAAGGATCAGCTTTTGTCGAAGGGACATGCTGGAAAACTAGCATCTGATCAGTATTCGCAGCCAATGCCTGCAAGCATTGACTAGTGTGGTCTGGCGGAGGGGGGGGGGGGGGGTGAGGCATGGGGGGGGTGTCCCCTTGTCAGAACACAAAGGCACAGTGGGAGAGATTGCTGCACTAAGATCATTTTTGTTAGTGCAGCGATCTCTCTTTTTTATGCCTGCTGGGTTGTATGAAAAAAAAATGTTGTACCAGGCATTACAGTTTGCTTTACCAGTTCATTATACAGATGCAAAGTAGAATCAATAATGCAAAACAGGGTCAGAATGGCATAGAGCATGCATAAACTGCAGAACAACACAAAACAGATTACTAAGGCTGTGAAACATGGACTCTTCACTGCAATGTCTCAGTCAGACTAACATGCGGCTGCATAGTATATTTTTAATATAGTATACTGTTAATAAGACTAGCTGAGAATTATTACTTCAGTAAAACAGTCCTGAACACAAATAGCTACTTCATTATCCTCATAAACAACATCCCTCTCAGTGAATTCCAAGAAAACTCTAGTAACACAGATCAAAAGCTGGAGAGATACAAAGCCCGGAGAACACAGGGCCACCCCCCTGAAACTGGAGTACTCTGGTAGCAATTAAGGAGGTGCTATCCAAAGTAGCTGGGTCTTCCAGAGAAGCTGCAAGGTATTAGGCTCCTGGCTGCAGATCACTTGTCTAGTTTCCTCTGCAACATCAGATGAGGACATCCATGAGCTACCATGCCTGAGGGAAGGGAGCAAAGAAAGGTATCTTTTCTGAGCATGTCCAGGAACCCAGTGATTTTTGGGAAAAAGAGTTAAAGGGCCTTGCGTCTTCATCTGAACATGGTGAGTATGGGCACTATGCTACACACAAATACATACTGTAAAATAACCAACTTTTTTTTTGTTTAGGTTATACAACTTAAACCTTTTTTGGAAAATCTCAATACCTATGGCTCCTTATTATATGGAAATAAAAGAAGACTAATTCAGTGCTTATGTTCTTGTCAGAAATATTGCAACCATGATAAAAATGTAGGTCCCTACTACTCCTGCTTCCAATAAACAGCAAAAATACCCACTTCCCTTGGAGATACCTGCCGCAGCCTGACCATCCCACAGCCAAGGGTGGGTTCTTTGTGAGGAAGAGGCACCGATTGGCTGCACAACTGGGAGTAGCAGGTGATCAGCAGGTTGGTCTGAGAAGATGGTGGAAAGTTCCGGGTGACAGGTAAGTATTTTGCTACTCTTATTATCTCTTTCCAATAGTAGTCAAAATGGGAGGCACAAGAACCTATATTAGGATATTGGGGGTTTTACAGCTCAGGTTAAAGTCAAAGAACTTCAGATTTAATCAGGCACATTCCCCCTCTCTCACTGTCTGACAATAAGGTATACAGGTGCCCTTAGGAATTATTGACCAATCAACCCATTCATATTCAGAGGCAATCAACTGTGACCAGATCAGAGAAAATAAGGTAATTTACTGTAAGAGAAAAGGCTGAAGAAACAATCTAGCATAAGAAACATAAGGAGAAAGCAGAAGAAACACATACGTTGTACACAACATGGCACTCCAAGAGTAGAAAAAGACAAGAACAAGACAGGAACAAACAACACATGGATAGATTTGTTATTAGACTGAATAAGACTACAGGGACATAGCAAATGACCAAGTCTGGGATCAGAAAGGACAACATCTGTTTTTACAGACCCTCTGGCCACAGACAAAACCATAGTACAAGTTGATGGAGAACTTATTTATGTGCTACATGGGAACAAAAACCCTGGGTTAAATGCAAGAAGGATTCCGGTTAACATATATGAGGTTTTGAAGATTTATTTTTACAAAAATCCTACTTGAGTTTATTATATTAAAGGCAGAGGCCAGACCCTTCCATCCATTTGGATACACTGAGTGGGTGACAACTCACTTATGATCTATAACAATGAAGATCTGCAATCACTGCACTAAAGAACACACAAACCTGAAGTGATCATTGTGTGACTGTTATGTGTGTAATTATATTGTCTCATCGGTCTGGGATTTCACTGTGTGGCTCTCACCTTCCCTGTAATTGCAGCAGTTGACTGACAGAGAATGAGAAAGCAGGTATCAGTGCAAGCTTGTGTAAGATATTATAAGGCAGAGGAATATCTCATTGCCAGACAGGGATCTGTGTGTGTGATGTGTGTGTGTGGGCAGTGGGAAAGGGGACTGCTGAGGATTCTGGCTAGTTTGGAGAATCTTAGAGTCATGGGAAATCACTTAGGGCTCATGTCCACGGGGTGTTTGGAAAACTCTTCTGCACGATGGAAACTGACTGCTGGAAAACGTAGGGTTAAAAAAACCCACCAGTTTAGCCGCATTTGCATACCGCGTTTATGCGCGTTTATGTACGTTTGCGTTTAGAAGCGTTTTTAAAAGATAACTAATAAAATTAACTATTTCAGACATTTTGAGAGAAATTGAGAGAGCAGAAGCAGAGAGAGCAGTATGTGTTGAGATTGTTGTATTCACTATGGATCCCATCATGAGCATAATGCAGCACGTTCTGCCATTTTTTCCTTCACGTGAAACCTGAAACTGACTGAAATGGTGTACTAGGCCCATTTGAGTACCTGGAAAACGCTTTGCATGCATTTCTGATGATGAAAATAAGGCTCTGGACAGCATCTGGACATGGAACAGTTAAAAAACGCTTCTAAACGCAAACGCTTCTAAATGCGGTTAACCGCGTTTACAAGCGTTTGGCGTTTGAAACACTGGTAAAATCTACTCCTGAACGCAAGTTTGGTGTGTTAAAAAAAAACGACTGTAAACTCAACTGCCTGTAAACGACTGTAAACAACTATGTGTACATGGACACATAGGAAAATATTAGGGAGCTCCTAAACATGAGTTTATCAGCTGCAGTGTACATGAGCCCTTAGGCTGCCACACAACCATTAGAGTGCA